AGCATATATAATATATACAAACATATATATAATATTACCAAATATAGCGATATTATACATATATATATATTACCCATACAGATATCATGCGAGTGACACTTTATACAGTACATAGTATAATAATTTACCATTTATTTTTAACATTTTCTTGGTTTTTTTTATTTTTATTAATTTTACCCCCAATTTTTTTTTAAACATAATAACTTAGGTTGAGGTTACATAGCTTCTCTCGCCTGTTCATAAAGAGATTAAGACGCTCAATTCACATGCATATATTTTACTTCTCCCCCAAATGACACACAGATTTTACTGTTTTTCGATGAAAGTAAATCAAACAAATGTTTCTAATTACAGATTAACAGTAAAATTAATAGTGCCATTTTAAACTACTTTAAATCAACATTACCATTTCATATAATATAAATTTGATTGCTTTATCTTCGAAGTTCAAATTAATATGTCTATTGAGCTACATTATATAAAACTTACTAACTTCCCTACCCCTCATGAAAATTAAGTTATTTAAAATTATCCAGTGGTGGTTGCTCCTTAAGGAAGGTAGGGCAGTGTTGTCCCTAGAAAAATCCACTTTTAAACTTAACTTGCAGAACACATTAAACTTACACTAAATAGATTAATTTCATTTGTGCATACCACAAAGGCAACTTTTGGGAACAAATTTAATTTTATGCATCTGTGTAGGTGTATGAACAATGTATTAATAATGGGCCATGAACTATCGCAACTGATGCATACTACGCAATTGTTGCATCCGGAAGAGTGGGGAAACTAGGAGTAGAGGGGGGGGGGCAGCTTGTACAATAAGGGTTTTCTTTCAGCACAGTCTGTGCCTATTAGTTAAGCTAAAAATATCAACATATTCATCTGATTTCATAAATTACTGTTTTTGTTGGCTGCAAATATTTTAAAAACATCTCTTATTTCCATGAGTCAATTGTATCTTCCATTATCAACATAAAAGTTGTCTTAGACATAAATTAAAATCCTATTGTTGGCAAATAAGTCATACAATACATCCTATCGTTTGCTCTTGTTTGAAACATTCTGAAGACACAAATAGAATGCAATAATTCAGACATTCATGCCATTCTTCTTAATTTGCAACACACCACCCCTATTGGTTAGGTTATATGAATTAATACCTGAAACAATGGTAACCTTCATGGGGATGGAAATTTTCATTCTCAGTCACAGGAACTGAAACACCAAGGCTCTTGCTTAAACCAATTTTAATTTTACTTTTTTCCAGAGAACTCTTTGTAAGTAAACAGTACGGCACAGAAGGGTCAAGTATTTTCACTGACATATGATGAATCGTATTGTCTGATGACAGAACAGGAACTATAGAATTTGAATTTATTAATATATCACTTTCTCCACAGAGTTGTAACATGTATTTTTTCCATATGCTCTCTGTATCTTTTGGGCTGCAAGTCTGAAACATTAAAGAAATTACTGAAGATAAAAGAAAATTTAATAAACATTTCAAGAGAGATAAAATCGTAGTTTACCCTGCCAATTGTCATAAGTTCAAGAGAAACAGGCTGTTGAAACGGAGTGCCATCTACCTCCAGTCTCACGCGTGCTCCTGTTTTAACATGCAAGGCAGCTCGAACTGCACTGGGCAAGAAGATACAGTGCTGCCCACCGCTATCAAAGACTCTATTAATTTCTTTATTCATTTCTTCATCTGTTTTATTCAGAAGATCATCTATGATACATAATTTCACATACACTGAGTCAGAACTGTTCAATTTTAAAAACTTCTCTTTCTCATTCACTTTTTTTTCTTCCTCAGTTCCGGGTGTATTTGACTTCGAAACAAATGAAACAGGTACTAATTTAACAACCAAACTTTGCCTAGCACATAATAATGGAATAAGCAAATTTGTCTTGTGAATGTATGCATTGTATGGATGTAAAAATTGAGATGAGATTTTACTTTCATCAGCAAACTGAAAGGGGTGAACCCTGTACACTAGAGGTTCAAGTAGTTTTAGTTTCTCAGACAAAAGATTTGTAACACTATGTTCACTTCGCCTACTAATGTCTTTTTCGTATTCTTCTTTCCCCCACAATCTAGAAGAAATACCTTGCACAGAATCCCATATAAAAGAAACAACAGAACTTGTTTTGGGGAGATAAGAGTCTTCTTCCCGGTCTTCCTCTTCTGTAGTTGCAGACTGTTCTTCATTTTTAATTTCATCTTGAACATCAGCAGTCAGAATGTCACCTTGTGCAAGCTTTTCTGAGGGAGAATTGATAATTATTTCTGTCAAGGTCTGCAATCTTCCTATTTGACTCTTAGGCTCAACTGAATCTGAAAATTAAATTCATATTTAATTAGTTTTACACAATGAACATGTATTTTCTTCATAAAAAATCTCTCATGAAATGATGTATATATCTTTATAATTATATTAATAGTATAATTTACATATCATTAAAATAAAAATATTATTGTTTAACTACAACTATTGAATTTTTAAAATACTTTTTTATCTTCTATGACATATCGTAATTCTGTTAGGAATTTCTTTCAATAAAAATAGTACAACAAATGTGGTGAATCAATACTCTACTTTTGTGTTCCTAATCTCAAATTCACCAATGAAATATTATATCCCTAAATGTCATGTCTTCCATTAACAAAGATTGAAGATGAACCGTTCCTTGCCTTCTTGTAAACCCATTATGCAAAATATTTTAAAAAGCAGATGAAGACAGTATTTTAGAATATAGATGAATAAAATATTACAGAATATACGTTTATACTGGAGTTAACTTTTGGCAGCCAAAATATATTAGGAGCATCAAAGTGGTATTTGTACAATATATAACCAAGAGTAAATAGTTCTAATGTCAATGAATTGTGACTTACTTCAAAACCACAGTATAGAAAACATCCTGCATAAAGAGCTGAAGTATTGATTATATATTTTGAAAGGAGAACAATTAATAAATTAATCATTATTGACGTGACAACTGGCGTGTATACTTATGGCGTGACAACCACCAAGTATTTCCCCTTTTTTTTAATATAAAAAATTTAAAAAATTATAAAACAAAACAAAATATTTACTCAAATTCATCAATATTCTATAAATGTTTACTCAAATTTAGCATTTTGTCACTACACTTCATTCATATATAGCTTTTAAAATAAAATAAAACTAACCAACATTAAGAACAGCATGCATAGATGTCCCAACCCAAGCAACAAATGTCTGTCCAGGCCATACAATTTGAATTTGATCAAGTAATCCAGACTGCAAAAGATCCTGATTCATTGCCTGGAATTCAAAAACATAACACATATTACTTTCACAAACAACTAGAAGACATGAAAACTAATAACTTTAAATTTATTTACCAATATTTCAAAGTCATCTGTTGTTAATGGAGACACGACAACTCTTGATACAGATGCAACATGATTATGAAAAGTAATAGTAACCTTTTCACCATCATCAATGCCAAGTTTCTGAGCATAAGTTGCACTGACACGAACAACAGAGTCGTCATCAGCATTAAGAAATTGTGGGTTCCACGAGAAAAATGCATGTTTTCCATTTTTATAATCAACCCTCAATGCAGAGGTCTGAAAAAATGATTTATTCATAAAATAAAATTGCTTAGTCATATAATCCATGTAGAGGCAAATACTCACTAAAGCTCCTAAATTAGATAGTCGTTTTGACCAATAATCTGAAAAATGGAGGTAACAGTTCCTAGCTGTCAGATATTTCACAACAAAAGGTTCTTCTTTCATTTCGCTGTAAAAACTATATTTAACAATTCTCTAGATTCAAAGATTATCATGTCCATTCGTTCCACAGCGCGTAAAGGGAAAATATTAAACTTTCAAAATAGAGGCACAAAATAACATGTTAAGTCAGATAATATAATATGAATAAGAATCAAAATGTGATCTCTCCTAACCTCACAACAAAAACACGTTTCTTCACTTATCCTTCCCTCCTGCTTCCCCCACCCTAGAATTTCTCTTGCTCCAACAAGTTTCTAGTATTGCCGCGAGGTTTCGCCACCTTCATTAAAATATAGCAAAAAAATCTTTCTTGCGTGTAATTGGTCGAATGACATTACCGCGGCTTATAAAACTAAATTTGAGTCGTACTAGAAAATATACAAATATTTGAAACTTTTCAAGAGAAAAAAAATTCAGAACGTAAATTTTGACTAACAAGAATAAATCAATATATTACGCTACTTTCATTATAAAATTACTAGGATGAACATTTTTAGAGTTTGCTATATTTTCTCCTATAAGGCCAATTAAAAAAAGGACACACATTCTAGATCAAATAGAGCTTTACATCATAAAAATCACCCAATGTAATAGCGTTAACTAAAACGAAAGGATTAAAAAATACTGAATATTAAAAATGCTAAATATCGAATATTAATAATGCTAAATACTAAAATATCAAATCAGTTGTTCGTTCACCGAAGCAAAAACGTTTTCTAAAATTCAGGGGAGCGAATGTCTAATTTTCATATGTTGCTAATCTCTCTTTGTTGGAAATTTTATTCATGATTCAACAGTTTGTGGTTAAAAGTAAAAGGTAGGGAATGGAGGGAGCTCAAGAAAACGTTCTCAGACGTCTTCCCCGTAGATCACAAACAGACTTTCACTGTTCTTTGATTAAATAAATCAAATCGTCTCATATTATTTCAGTAGTATAAATGCCTTTTGTAACACTCACACGCAACTGATCTTTATAAATGAGGTCTCTAAAAAAAGAGAATTTCACGGAGACGTGACTTTAAAAAATGGACGGATGTTTAAAAATCGTATATAAATATTCATATCAAATGCAACCCGTACTACTTCGTCAGCTACGCCGTTAAATAAATACTAAACGAAGCGTTCTAGGGCCTTAAAAACTAAAATTTTGAAGCCAAAAGTCTCAAAGAAACGTTCCTCACACCGTAATCTATAGAATGAGATATTCTTGGACTTTGTATTAAATTTTTCTTGGTTGGACACTTATCGATACTATCATTGCCACCTAGATATCAACTCTTGGTGATGGTGTCCATCTTTGTGGTGTCACGCTTAGAATACTTAGATTCCTTTATCTTATACTATTTACGCTTTCTGTGCACACCGGTGGTTTCCGCAGACTGAAGATGTTCATTTGTATAATTATTAATTCAAGATTCACTCTCGCAGCAACAACTAGAAGTACAATTAATAGTTGTTTTGTACCGATGAAGATTGTTTCTTGTGTGTAGTGAAAACATTTATATACCCACATCAATACCCAGTCTGTCTGTTCATCAGTCTACCCAGCTGTAAACTCATATTGTAAATAATACACCGTTTGTTATTTAACTTAAGGTGTCGGTTCGCTAAGATATTCAATACGTAAACATCTTTAACTGAGCAACATTCCCACGTATCGAAGTAAAGTCTAAGCCTACTGAATTGTTTCTAATGGTAACAAATGGTATTTATTACTCAGAGGTAAAAATACTAGTTTTATTTTTGGCTCGGAATTGATTTTCTTTGGGTACATAAGAACGCAGAAAATAATCCAATACCTTCTAGTATACAAATCATTTTTCAATTTTCGCACCCCAGAAAGCTGACGCCCTGCCCCTCCAAAACACCGTCTGTTCCTCATAACAAATCCGGGAAAGTTAACTTGCCCGATTCTGTATTTTCGCATAGAAAACGTTAATTGGCTTTCTCAAGAGTAAAAACTTTTTATCAATTTTTTGTGACTATCAAGGAAAGCGGAAAGCTATCAAGTAAGATTGAATAATTACTTCAAATGTTATTTTTAAGGAAGTTGGAATTGTTTGAAGAACATACCATCTATATAATACTGAATAAACCTTTGTTGAAAATGTCTTTCCAACATCAATTGCATTGTTTTTATTTTTGTTTGACATTCTGTAAGCACGAACATTTATACATTTTTTAGCAAATAAACATGTTTCATTAACAATTTTCCTTCTTAATGGAAAGGATAGGGAAATGGATAGGGAAAGGGTGGGCTTTACCATGCGAGAGTTCTCGCACAGGTACGCTAGTCAAAATAATATTTTCATGAAAGTTTTATTCTGCCAATTTCATGGCTTTTTACTAATTGAAAATTATTGAACATGAATACCTGTTGTAAAAGCTATAAGTGAAACTATCACATTGCGGACAAGGTCTGTCGAGATTTCAGATAGCCGTGTGTCCCCTTTTATACGCACGCCCTGACTTTTGTGGATTTTAAAACTGCTACCACGAGTAGTTCGTACCCCATTTCATGTGTCAGGGTTGGAAGTTCAAGACATTCACATCGATTATTTATTAGTGATTTCGAGCACATCAACTGCTGAGAACATTGGCCCCGTAAGTGTAATGCCTGCTTTTGTTGCGGGATGTGACAAAATGATCACAAAAAATACTTAAGATGTTCTATTCTTAGGAAGTATCAAACAATATGTCAGGTATTTCGGAAAAATTTTTTCCACGTCATACAATGTGATGGGTACACATTTGAATTTTGATTCTTTGACCGGCATAGGCTCAAGGCATTGAATGATGTCACTGCAGTGCCACTGACCAGGAGTTTCGAGGATTCGAGGCCCGACTGTGGCAGGATTTTAGATCCTAGGTAAATAGGTAAGTCGAATTCAGCCGCTGTCTGGAGGAAAATTTTACCAGCTAGATGCTCTGTTTGGTAGTTTTTCGAGGATTCTTCGATAAATACCAGCTGAATGTCGGAGCAGTACTCTAACATACGGGCCTCGGACCGCACGCTATCTTCCCTTCCTGTTCCTTGGCTCCCCACCCCTTCTTTTCATTTACCCTCACATGCATCACGTTTGTCGGAAGACCGGTTGGGAGCTTGAAGTTTGCCTCGGCTGGAGCGGTGTCACGCTGATGGGAAATACCTGGCTGGGGAAAATCCCGGCAAGGTCGTCGCCGGATCTCGCCAGCCAGCGGGGAAAAGACCACCGTCACCTCACGCAATAAAAACCTGCACTACACTTAGGTGACTAATCGTCTTAGCAGTTGATGCGGTCAGAATCACTAATCTATCAATCGATTGGTTCTTTGACACATTTATGCTAAGTACATTTTCTAAAAGTTACATAGGGAATGTATTTTCTCATTTCAGAATAATCTTTTCAGTTTATTATTTACACATTCTATATTTATTCGATATCTCAACAAATTTTACTTTGCCGGTTCTTGCTGTCCTGGCACACACGTCAAGAATAAGGTTCATTAGGGTAGTTATAAAGATAATTTAAGATTGGTGAACACTGTAAGGAAAAAACACGCAATTGTGTACCCGAAAATAGGAATGTCTGTAAGAACGGGTGGATGTGTTATGCATTACTCTGTCAGATTAGAAGATATTTATTTCTAAAACTTGGGGAAAAAGATGCTACATACACTACATTACCACACATGCCGGACGACCACTCGGAAGTTTAAGAGTGGTCACGGCTGGGGAGGTGCCCCGCTGATGGGGATACCTTGTTGGAGAAAACCCAGCAAACCGACGGGGTCGGCGCTGGATCTCACCATTAAGTGGGGGAAGATCACCGCCACCTTCCGAGGAAAAACAAGAACTACACTTACGGGACTAACGATCTCAGAAGTTGGCGAGCCTGGAATCAGCAATCAATCCGTAAAATGAGTTGATGAGTAATAATCAATGACGCGAAGAGAAGGAGAAGTCTCTTCTGTCTCCAATTCTTTAGTTTCCAATTCTCTTTCCAATTTTTTAGTTTCTTTCCGAATATTGGCAGTATTTGGTCGGGAACTCCGAATCCACGTTCTCTAATTTTATAAAACGATCGCTCTTTTTACCTAGACGGGTAAAACCTTCATTAATATCGAGTGTCGCTCTTAAATGTCGAGTGAGATCGTGTTATTGAACGAAAAGGGTGCAAAACCACGCATATAACGAGAGATTTTCAAACAATAGACTCCACCCGCGATTAACGCTCTTTACAGAAAACAAGAAGTTGGAGTGAAGGGGAGAGCCGCAGCGACGCATACGCGAGGTCACACGTGAACTCCGCCGTTGACGCGACCTCACGAGGGCACAGCTCCCGCGGGAACAATAGGTCAAGGGGAGGCGGAAAGAGGGCACCGTCGGAAATTGCAAGCGCAGTGGGCCGATTCGCGGAACTAGTAGGAACCTTTTCCTCTTATTAGTGTGTTTACTCAACTTTACTTTATATTTTATTTTTATTATATTTTTAATTTAATTTGTTAATATCTAAATGTTTTAGTATGCGACTGAATAAAAGGAATTATTTCAGCAGATGTTAAAAATTTAAAATAATAAATATCAATGTTACGTAACACTAATTTGTTTCGCTCATGTATCCTTCCTTCACTCAAAAAGTATCTCCTATATTTTTGTTATGTGGTCAGCATCACCAAGTGTTTCTAAGTAACTTTGATTATTATACATATTAATGTATATCTCAAATAAAATTAATACAAATGGTACTTACTTTTATAATAATATTTTTTATTTGGTGTTAATGCGAGAGGTGCTGCCACAAGCGTTACGTGATTATTTAGGTGGATTCAAACGCGCTTTACAGGTGTGTAACAGTGGGAGAGGGAGTATTCAAAGCGAGGTCCCACCTGGGGCTGTGATCCGCTGGTAGGAGATATCTGGATGAGGAAAACCCCGCAAGTCGACGTGCAGGACAACGCCGCATCTCACCACCCAACGGGGAAAGAACACAGACGCCTCACGTGGTAAGAAATACACTAGACTTACGGGATTAATGACCACACCAGTTGACGCTCTCGGAAACACGAAGTAATTAACCAACTACTTACAACAAAAAAGTTCATAACATCATTTAAACATCTAAAATTTTGCGATATATTGCATTAAGAAATCAATATAATGCGTAAATATTGAAGTTTTATAAGAGATTCAAAAATACATTTTAATTATTGCATTTTGAAATTTTTAGAGGTTTTAATTGAAATCGGAACTATACCGTATTTACAAATCCCCTTCCTTGTCATCGAGGAAAATGTTTACAAAACAAAATTGCAAACCATTTTTCAGTAAGTTTTGAAAATGTTTGTCATTGATCATTGCTGCTCAGTTTTAGTTTGCAATAAACGTGTTCATTCAAATTTTCGTAAATGAATGAATATGTTCATTCAGGCACATAAAGTAAACTCGGTTGTACTTTTAAACTTGATGCTTTACCAAATGAAATTCATAAATAAATAAATGTGTTCATTAAACTGCGTTTCAGAGTCAATTTCGCAGCCACATTTTTCCAATTACAGTTGGGGGTAAACCATGGGACGGACGATTTCAGGTGAATGCTGGAGCGAAGCATCAAACAAAGGGCCACAGACTGGGCGCGATCCTTGTTTCTCCTTCCTGCCTCCTCCCCTACCCACGCCAGGCATGTAAAACGGCGGTTTTTATGTGCATACTCACCGGGAGGGGTGGCTCAGAGCATCAACTGATTCCTCTGCAGTGCCTCTGACCGGGAGGTCCTAGGCTTGCACTACCGACGGGGGCAGGATTTTCGACAGTAGCTAGATAGATCGAATTCACTCGCCATCTGGCGGAAAATTCTAGTGGCCGGCTGCTCTGATTTCACCTATCAACACAATGCGAATGCCCGAGTACTACCCCCAAACGGGCCTCGGACCGCGCGCGAACTTTCCTTCCCATTCCTTGTTCTAACTTCCCCCTTACTTACACACACACACTGGCATGCACTACACTATCAGGTATGCTGGGAGATCAGTCGGGAGCGTATAACTTCTCCCGGCTAGGGCGGTGCCCTGCTGGTGAGAGATACCTGGTTGGGGGAAATCCCATTAGCCGACGGTAGCTCAGCGCTGGATCTCGCCATACAGCCGGGAATGGTTATCGTCCTCTCCACTACATGCCCTACACTTACGGGACTAATGACCTTAGCAGTTCACTCGCCCGGAATCAGTAATTAATCAATCAATTAATCAAAACAATGTGCGATAGTGATGCAAATTTTGTAAATTGTAGAAAAGAGCAACAGCTTTTGTACGCAGCAATATGCTTCGATATAAACATTGAGTCAGTTGACGTAAATCATCTGTTACGGGGTCATTCAATCGGGAGCTTGGATGACATCTACACGACTGACGTTTAAGGTCCCGATTGGATGACATAGTAATGGCTGATCAAACGCCAACTGGCTCTGTAAATAAATGAAAGTGTAGTGCCCACTGGCTTCCAGCGCGACCACTGCGAGCAGGGCAGACACGCACCTGCTGGGCAGCAGCCGAAGGGCAGAACCCTTTTCCTGCTGTGCCTCCCTCGGGAGCCCCTCGGCGGCCGCAGACGCCGCTTCTGCCCTCTGCCCTCTGCCGCCGCCACAGCCCCTGCCTCTGCAACCACCGCCGCCACCGACACCTTTTTTTAAATATAAACATATATGGTATTGTAAGATATCCGCTACCACCACGGAATAAACATATATATTCATATGAACATTATTCACATAATTATAAAAAATAAACTAGTTTTCATATGCATCTTTCGGCATTAACATTTTAGAAATGTGTACTGGCTTATGCTAGTTAAAAATCCAAGCGATCTTTATCTAAACATAGAAAAGGATGCTCTAGAGAAAAACATTGGTTGGTTAAGATTTTGAGAAAGGCTTCAAAAGCGATTTTTGTTATTCGAGTGTGGTTTGTGTTTTTTGCTAGTTTGAAATGGAATGCTGCTGGTATGTCTGTTGGGTTTTGGTGGAATTTATGTGATATGTGGGCTATTTGGTTTATTATTTTATTGATGTTTATTTTGAAATGGAGTTGTTGGATACTTCTGAACCAAGGGGCGTTTGTGATTAATTTGAGATATTTATTTTCAATTATTTGGAGTTGATTGATGTTTGTAGGAGCTGCGTTTGTCCATATTGGGCACGGGTAGAGAATTAGTAGCCTTATTATATTTTATATATTTTTGTAGATTATGTATATGAGAAGTATTTGTGTTTGTTGATTAGTGGCCGGAGTTGAATTAATTTTTTTTCTTGCCACTGTCGCTGCCGCCGCAGTCCTCACTGCTGCATCACATCATTCTCTACAATCTTTTCTTCCTTCTCCCTCTGCGCCCTTTCTCTTCTCGCCCATTCATCTCTGCCTGTTCATCTGCTCTTACGCCTACTCAACCCACTTCCCATTTCCTTCTCACCATCTCATCCTTCACCTCATCAATCCGCTACCCCCTCCCCCGCTTTCTCCTTCGCCTCATCCTCCTCCCTCCGCCTCCTCCTCGACTTCCTCCTCCCATCATCCTACGTCTCCACTTCTCACTTCCATTCTCCTCCTCCTTCACGCTCTTCAGTCTCCTCCCTCAGCGAATCCACCTCCTTCATGTGCTCCATAGCCTCTTCCTCTGTCTACTTCAATCCCTCCCTCTGCCGCATCTCTTCCACTTCCTCCACCCATACTTCATTTCTTCTTCCCAATCTCCTTCCATTCTTCTCCCCCCCCCTCTTCCTCAAGTGTTCTCCACCCACTCCTCCGTCTCCTCACTTTCCACCTCTCATCATCCTACCATTTTCCCAACGGTTTTTAGTTTTCCTCCCATCATCCTCCGTCTCCACTTCTCCCTTCCATTATCCTCCTTCACACCCTTCAATCCTCTCACCTCCCTCTCCGAATCCTTCTCCTTTACCTGTTCCATACCCTCTTCCTCAGTCTACTTCAATTACTCCCCCTGCCGCCCCTCCTCCATTTCCTTCTGTTATCTTTCTTTTCTTCTTCTCAATCTCCTCCCTTACTTCTCCTCCTCCTCCGCATCGTCCTTTTTCGCCTCTTATACTTTTTGTACGCCTTCCTTCTCCTGTTTCACCCCCTCTCTCCGCATTTTGACAATAAAATGTATTTGATTGCACTGCTTATATATTAGTGAAGAATGACGTCGAGAATATTCTATTCGGTGCAGCAACTAGAGAAACATTACGTTATCCATTACTACTCAAAACCGAAAGCCAGAAAGTTTGGATGAAACATAAATAGTGAATATACACATATGCTCAAACGCAACACATGTTTCATTACGAGTAGATATTAAAGGTGTTGTCTTTGCGAGAAAGGAATTTGATTAATATGTTACCTCTCATTTCTACTCATATTTAAATGTCAACGACATAATACCAAGTATATGACAGTATTGTTCTAATCAGTTTGTTGAATTGAAGAGTCGTTTCATAGGAGAGTAAAATAATCGTTGATGTTGACAAGAACAACTAATGATGTAATGGATAGCTGTTATAGCTAATGACTATCGGGCTGCAGGGCCGGATTTAAACATTGCGGGGTCCCCAAGCACAAAATTTTGTTGATTCCCCATCCCTCTGTAAAATATCTTTATCTTTATTAAATAAAAAACTTATCTTAATAAAAGCACGTTCTTCAAATACAAATTAAAACTAAAATTTTTATACAAAATTTTACATGAAATATATTTATTACATTAAACACATTTCATGTAACAAAATGTTTTGCATATTTTTCCGAAGCGCGGGGTGCCTCATGGACGGGGGCATCCAAGCAACAGCTTGTTTTGCTTGGAGGTGCATCCGTCACTGATTCGCTGACTAATGAATGACCGAAATGACGTAGCTGTAGAGGATAAAACGACTATTGTGTTATCCTGATGTTCAGTATAGATGACGAATGGCAGATTCAGGGTGGCTTTGTGGACAATGCTCCCATAAAAATACCAATATTTTACTTTCTCGTATAAGTACGTATATTCGAAATAATATACGAAGTATAGAGTTCTGGGATTCCCATGTAGAGAAATAGTGATTTTTTCAAAACGTCCGTCCTTCTTTCTAACCGTTTAATATTTTTTTCTAAAATGACTATTGCCCGGTCGATCATACCCGATTCTAAACATAGAATTTTGGAAAAAAATCTTTACATTTTGGTAGTATTTAACACATGACGCCCCTGGGGTATTTTCAAAATTGTCACAAAAACGGCTCTAATTTATGTATGAGTGTGCTTTGGCACAACAGATCCTTACAAACTAAGGTCTACCAGCACCGACCCGGCAATTGCACTGTATAAGATGACATAAACGCCTTTTGCTTTACAGGTGATTTGTATACGTTATACATTTGTAAGTACGAGTGCTTTAAATGAAGTCTTATAAAGATTCTCGAAAATTGAAAACTTGTATGTGAAAACGAGCTGAAAATAACGCAGAAACGGCATTTTCTCGACAATGACTCCAAATTCTGTCTATAATTTTTGTACGGGTAGTACTCAATTGTAAGGTTACTCAATGCAATGAGTAACATGACATCAATGCTACTTCAATCTATTCCTTTTTTTTTTTATTTGCACGTTTTTTTAAAAATATCTCTCACGTCGTAAATATTTACAATACAGGCATCTCTTATAAATTATTGTATTTGTGACTACAAGTGCTTAAAATGCTTTTTTAATCAAGTTTCTTCAAGCAACTCGAAAGTTTTCAGTGAAAATAAGCTTCAAATGGCGCATTATCAGATATGGTTGAACGATATTTTTTTTAAAACTTCTCCAATTTCTTTTCAATGCAAACATGCTTCTAGTTAGTATTTTATTAAATGAAATCAATTTATATAAATTACCATTATCAATTTATAACAGGACCAGTGGAAAATTAACCGAGAGCATATTTCAATTTTGACTTTCTTTAACCCATTTCTTCTGTCAATAAGATTTAACCTATATTTCTTGAAAAATAGTTCAGCTTCTACACTTTTGGCCACCGTAAAATTAAGTGTTTTCAAATCTCGATGTATTTTTGTCGATGTCGCATCCCTAGTTAGAGAGCGAGCACGAAGGAAAACATGAAATTCAATTTAGCAATTAAATTTATAAATTTAAAATAAAAATTTAGCAAAAAAACCAAAAGTTTGCGAGCCGAGTTCACTCGAACGAAAGCGACGAGCCTCGAATACAACGTATGTTACTTGATGGATGTTGGATATCGAACAGCTCGAAATGTTCATCCGAACTGGTTTTGATAACAGTTTTTACGAAATTTTTCATTGCTTTTAGGGCATTTTTAGTATAACATCTTAAGACCATTTCACTGATTATTTGTGGCGATGAGTTAAGGTCATCACAATCCGCTCCCTAATCATTACGTAGAACGAATTTTCGTAATTATTTCCAAGACAAATCCCCACTCTTCGCCTCTCACCATCGCCCCCCCCCCCCCAGAGAGGGCAGGGATGTGCGGAAGACACAACACGCACGAGCAAACCAGCCCCAGCCCTGTCGCCGCAACGCACGAGTACCCACGGCTGCACGTTCTCTCTCACGCGGTCGGGTTCCCCTACTCCCCCTCCCGTGCCGCCGAGCAGCTGTTTGCGTGTAACCTGCACCCCTACCCGAGAGGCCGGATCGCTGCGAAATAAGATTTTTTTTTGCGTGTGTGCCTCCCATCACGTTCTGCAGGTATGCGAAGAAAAGTGGTGCAAAAGGGATGCTGGGCCGGGACTCGGATTCTTCTTCGGTTCCCATAGCGCCAATCGAATCCAGAACAACGGTTCTCCGGGGAAGGAGGTATGCAAATTCTTCCTTCACTTATGGCGGGACTTTGACATGTGCGACTCGTTAACCAGATAGGGTGTGGCTTTTGTGGAGCTCTTAGACTGCACGCAGTCACAGATGGCGGTGTAGTTTTCATGAAGAGCATGCTTTTGCATGTGACCGTCGAGAATGTTGTGTGCGAACCGGGAGAGGTGGATCAGGGCATTAACTGAAGTCTCTACAGTGCCTCTGACTGGCATGTCTGGAGTTCGACTTCCGTCGGTGGCAGGATTTTCGACAGGGAGATGAGAATTCTAGCGGCCGGTTGCTCTGACCGGGAGTTCTCCGTGGTTTCTCCGATCAACACCAAGCGAATGCCGGAGCAGTTCCGTACCAAACGGGCCACGGACTGCGCGAGATCTTTCCTTCCCATTCCTTGTCCAATCCAATCCCTTGTACACACTTACACACTGTACACACTTACATGCACTACACTATCACAGACGTCGGGAGTCCGGTCGGGAGCTTAGAGCTTCCCGCATGGGGCGCTGCCCCGCTGGTGAGATACCTAGTTGGAGAAAACAAATGTATACTTGAACAAATGCTTGAAAAAACAAATGCTTAAATTTTCGACGGGCAGAAATCTCAACGTGGTCATGCCGTACGAGCGGAATGTAAAAGAACTCTGCCTAAATATCCGTAAAAAGTAAATCTTTCCATAATTCTCGCAGTAGTCAAATATAACTATTAATCCATTACGAATTCTGGCTTACTTACGAACCTCTCGAGTAGTTGACGCAATTTATAGAGACTTCAGTTGTGACATTTCCTAACGGTAAACAGTCAACATTTACAACCAACGCTAAGACACTGTTAAGTGCCAAATAGGAAATTCTCAGCAATTTCACCTCATGTCGGGAAGATCTAATGAATAAAACTCCACGAGCACTACAAACAAACAATGTGTATGTAGTCATTAGTTTGTCAAGATTGGAATTGTTCTATCTCTCTCACGTTTTTGAAATATTCACACGCCACAAATGATTACAGAATAAGAATGTAAAAGCTGTAAAGGAGTTAAAAGATTTCAGAGCGATTAATCAACATAAATCCGAGTTACAGTGCACTTAAACAAATTGCGTTTTTTAAATTTTTTTATTACTGAAAGACTATAAACAAATTAATGTTGTACTTGCGTTTAAAAACAATTCATCTTCTAGTTTTTCAGGCAAAAATATTACTTTTAATTTGAGCTTGCCAACGAAATTAGGACAGTGCGTTAAAAATTACCTCTTCCACCGTATATCTCTCAAAATAGTTAATACAGCAATGATACAGAAATAAATCTGAGTAATTCATTGCTTTTACTTTTAAAATCTCTAACAACTGACCATTTGTCATACACGAACATGTAAACCGAAAGTTGGGCTTAAACCGATTAGCAGATAATTGCCCTACCTGACCAATACGCATACCTCAGTTAAATGAGAGTGGACTACTTTCTGTGACTCATTCTCCATTGTGAGGATTGAGTAGGATGGTGATTCATTTACCTGGAGTAAAATTTCACAGATTTGCTTTCTTCGCCTGAAGTCGGAGTCTGACTCACTTGCCATTATGCAGACACAATATAGGTCTATCATTGCAATTATAATAATATTAAAACAATAGTAATAATAATAATAATGAAAATAATAATAATAATAATGAAAATAATAATAATAATAATGAAAATAATAATAATAATAATAATAATAATAATAATAATAATAATAATAATAATAATAATAATAATAATAATAATAATAATAATAATAATAATAAGCCACTGCCTCCATTTCCCCCT